GTGTGTGTGTGTGTGTGTGTGTGTGTGTGTGTGTGTGTGTGTGTGTGCGCGTGCGCGTGCGCGTGCGCAGGTGACAGACGCCTACAGTGAGTTTGATGCCGGTAGGGCCATTCGTGTCCTCCAAGCCTTCATCACCAGAGAGCTCTCCAGCTTCTATTTCAGCATCATCAAAGACCGGTAAAGGCTGAAAACAAGAGACCCACCAGTGGTTTAGCTGTGCTGGTATTCTTCTGATCGCTTTACTTTGCTTTAACACTCGTGCCTCATGAGACATTTTGGGCTTCCTTCATTTTTCTATCATTTTGGCCATGTTAATGCATATGGCATACATTTTGGAAAGGGTGTGAGCTTTTTTAGTTTTTTTAATTTTATTTTGGAAGTTGAACTTCAGCTCCTATAATAAGTCTCCAATAAACTGTGTAGCCAAAATACATACCCTCAGACCCTTAAGGACAAACATTATCCACATTGAAATTCCACAACTATTACAGTATCAAGTCAGTGAGAGTGGAAAATATTATTACTATCATTTTTGTCTTCTATGGTATCAGAGCAACTGTTTTTTTAAAGTGAGGCCCAAGGGTTAAGTATCTGTGAAACTCTCGTATCTCTTCCTCTTTCCTCGTCTGTTCCTTTAATTCTGCCTCTTTAAATCAGGTTGTACTGTGATCCAGAGGACTCGTTGGGCAGAAGATCATGTCAGACCGTTTTAGAGGAAATTCTAGACGGAGTGACCAGATCTATAGCTCCCATCCTGCCACATCTAGCTGAAGAGGTCTATCTACACGCACCAGGACATGACGGTACGTGTCAGTTGGTTCGTGTTGTTACAACATATGACCCCGCATGTGTTTTCAACCATACCGTCTCTCTATACATTTTGTGTTCTCTTGCTAACAAAGAGTATTCATGAACCGTAAACGCGTCTGCAGAAGGGGAGACATTATTTCAGAGCGGCTGGATCAAAAGCAGTTCGGTGTGGCGGCGACCAGGATTGGAGGAGGCAGTGGAGGGGGCCTGTGCCATCAGGGACTCCTTCCTGTCTTCCATTCCGGGCAAAAATGCCGCTCAGTACGACCTCACCATTGCCATTGAACCCGGTTTGCTGTTTGAGCTCATGGAGGTAAATCAAATGTTGTGAGCAAGCCACTATACAGAGAGAGAGAGAGAGAGAGAGTCCACAAAAGACACTGAGAAGGACTTCACATGTTCAAATGCTGAGGCAATGGGCCAAGATCTAAAGTAGAGTGATTGTTTCCAGTTGTTCTGTTTTTGTTTTTGTTTTTTTTTAAACAAAATGTTTCTGCAAAGGTTGAGAACATCCACACATCATGTGTCATCACTTCCTGGCTGCTAGAATCATGCACACTAATAATAATAATAATAATAATAATAATATTATTATTAACAACAACAACAAATTAAACTAAATGTCATCTGTAATATACATAAAATGCAACATATAATGTAACGCATGTTTACAATACTATCGATTTGTAATAATTAGATAAGAACAAAATATAAAATATGATACACACATGTTGGAAATCCCCAATGCTTTTATTTATATATTATCAGTCTATATAAAGGGACATGAACCCATAACCTTCCTCCTCTCCACTCCCAGTCTCTCCAAGAGGAAGCCACCTCCACCTCCTCCCAGCTGGCTGAGCTGATGACGGTCGCGCGGGTCAACCTGACCAGCGTGCTGCCCCGCGACCTTCCCCCAGACGCCTTGCTGAGCCGCGGCTCCTTCCTCATCAACCTGGAGGGTGAGGAACGTTCACACTGAGCTAGTCGGTACAACGGCGCAGAGATAAATCAGCCAGGATTGGGGAAATGGTAGAGTTTTTGCATCATGTCTTAATGGACCTTTTTTCACAGCAGACATTTGCACCCGGCCAACACTGATGTAATAACATGTGTCAGGGCCCCGTCTCCAGAGCGGGATACCTCAGGCTCAAACGTCCACCTGGACTCAAGGATGAACTGATTAGAATTTGGAGGTCAGAGGTCACTGTGACCTCACTAAACAAATTTTGGGCCAGAACTGAAGAATTGATATGCTAATTAGGCTAATTTCACACAAATGTCTAATAGGATAAAAAAAATGATGAAGCGATGACATTTTTGGATGTAAACTGATACTTGACTGGTTGATGGAGGTTTACAACCACGAGGTGATCATTTTAGTTCCCATTGTTTCAAACAGCTTCTTATTATATTTAAATTGTGTGATCATATCGTATATATTTTACCTCGCAGAATATCCTCTTTTGCTATAACCAGATCACCATCATCATCATATCATCAACATTTCATAAAACGTCACACTAAATTGCCAACTCATTGTTCTCATGACGTTGCTTGTAATAGACAACTCCTCCCCTTTCACATGAATATTGTGGCTGATAAAAGCCAGCGTTACCTGAGCCATGTGATAAGCAGCTCCATGATAGCGGTTATCAGGAAGCTCAGTGAACCCAAAGACAAGTTCAAATGTCTGTAGTGAAAAAGATCCACACAGTTGTGGACAAAATGTGAATAAGATGACTTCCAAAATGCTGAGTACGTCTGTCTGTCCGGTCAGGTGGTGTCATACGAGAGGACAGCGCCTACAGCATAGCAGCAGTGCCCACCGCTGCCGCCAGGTGCCCGCGGTGCCGGCGCTACACCACAGACTCGGTGGACTGCCTGTGCCCGCGCTGCCAGACCATCGTTTCACCGGCTCACTGACAAAGCGTCTTGTCACTGTGACGAACATTGAACATCGGCTGTTTCCTTCTCCTGCTTCGGGTGAAGTTCCTCTTGAGGGCTGAATAGAGACTGGCTTTTATAATCCCTGCTGAGAGGTGTAAAACTGACTCCCAGTTACTCCTGTGTTCTTCCATTTTGGCCACTGCCAGTCAAGAGAGCCTGCAGCTGAGCACAGGGCTGTCCTAATAGCAGATAACAACGCGTACTGTCAGGCCTAACTGTTTTATGCACTTACAAAACCACAAGGCTGAATGTACATGAAGCGGGTTTTTTCTGATCACCAGTGACTTTTTTTTTTTCAATTAGATGAAGACCTCTGAACTTTCCAGAAAGGCTCCTGTATCATTACTGTGGAGCGCTTTTGTGACTGATAACTGCACCAAACGATACAGTATGAGTAAGCTTGCTTACTGTATGTTTCATTGGGAATACTTATATTTTCTTAGAGGGGATGCCATTCACGTGGCTTATCAGTTGTTTTAAGTGCGTAACTACAGGGGAAAGGAATGCGTTCCTCTGAGTGTCAACATGTGACAGCAGTAGAGAATGTATACTGGGTACGTTCTTGTAAACCTTTCAATAATATATCCTGTTCCTTGTAAACGTTCCCATCAAGTTGAAGGTATATGGAAAAAAATGTCTCTAAATTATAAATAAATGGATTATGACATTTTCTGACTTTTTTCTGACATTTTATACTGACCTTTTTATTACTATAACAAAATATTACAACATACACACCGTGACTTTTTTTGACATACTACATAACTTTTTTATGACATGCTATGAATTTTTTAATGAGCCACTGACTATATTTCGATATTTTTTCCTCATACTTTATCATGACTTTATTACGTTTTGTTCTACATACTCTATCTTTTATTTTCATCATGCTAAACTGTCTTATTAATCTATGACTTTTCTTAATGACTAATAAATACTTTGACTTTTACAACATAATATACTTTGACTTTGTATGCCTTAGTATATGATTAATTTCATAAATAATTGACATACTATTTATTTATTTTTTTTTTTTCAACATACTATGACTTTTTTAATATACTATACTATGACTTTTTCATAACTTTTTCAACAGACTATAACATGACTTTTTCCGACATACTTTCTTTCCACATACTATAGTATGAGTTATTTTGTTCTTAACGTAATGAACAATGAGTTATATTCTATTCTAAGACTATTTAAAGTTTTTTTTTCAACATAGCCCTAACTATAAACCTGATCCAGCCCTAACTATAAACCTGATCCAGCCCTAACTATAGACCTGAGCCAGCCCTAACTATAAACCTGAACCAGTCCTAACTATAAACCTGAACCAGCCCTAACTATAGACCAGATCCAGCCCTAACTATAGACCAGATCCAGCCCTAACTATAGACCTGAACCAGCCCTAACTATAAACCTGATCCAGCCCTAACTATAAACCTGAGTCAGCCCTAACTATAAACCTGAATCAACCCTAACTATAAACCTGAATCAACCCTAACTATAAACCTGAACCAGCCCTAACTATAAACCTGAACCAGCCCTAACTATAAACCTGAGCCAGCCCTAACTATAAGCATTATCAAAAAGGAAAGTCTTAAGCCTACTCTTAAATGTGGTGAGTGTGTCTGCCCCCCGGACTGAAACGGGAAGCTGGTTCCACAGAAGAGGAGCTTGATAACTGAAGGCTCTGGTTCCCATCCTACTTTTTGAGACTCTTGGAACCACAAGTAACTCTGAATTTAGGGAGTGCAGCTCTCTAGTGGGGTAGTATGGTACTATAAGCTAAGATATGATGGTGCTTGACCAGTTCGGGCTTTGTAGGTGAGGAGAAGGATTTTAAATTCTATTCTAGATGTTACAGGGAGTCAGTGCAGAGAAGCTAATACATGAGTAATATGATCTCTTTTCTTAGTTTTTGTTAGTACATGTGCCTCAGCATTCTGAATCAACTGGAGAGATATAAGAGACTTATAAGAGCAGCCTGATAATAAGGAATTGCAGTAATCTAATCTAGAAGTAACAAATGCATGAACTCATTTCTCTGCATCACTTTGAGACAGGATGTGTCTGATTTTTGAAATATTACGTAGGTGAAAAAAGGCAGTCCTAGAAATTTGTTTAATCTGGGAGTTAAAAGACAAATCCTGATCAAAGGTAACTTGGATTCTTTACGGTGCTGCTGGATGCCAGCGCAATGCCATCTAGAGAAACTATATCATCAGATAACTGATGTCGGAGGTGTTCTGGGCCTCGTAGAATAACTTCAGTTTTGTCTGAGTTTAACATCAGGAAGTTGCAGGTCATCCAGGTTTGTATGTCCTCAAGACATGCTTGAAGTTTAGCAAGCTGGTTGGTTTCATCTGGTTTGATCGATACATTACATTTACATTACATTACAGTCATTTAGCAGACGCTTTTATACAAAGCGACTTACAATTCAGATTCTATCACATACATTATATCACTCATATAATTGAGTATCATCTGCATAACAATGAAGGTTTGTAGAGTGTTTTCTGATAATATTGCCTAAAGGAAGCATATATAAGGTGAACAAGATTGGTCCAAGAACAGAACCTTGTGGAACTCCATGACTAACGTTGGTCTTCATGGAGGTTTCATCGTTTACATACAAACTGTGATCGATCAGAGAAATGGGATTTAAACCGGTTTAGTGCGGTCCCTTTGATGCCAATATAATGTTCTAGTCTCTGCAACAGGATGTAATGATCTATGGTGTCGAACGCAGCACTAAGGTCTAACAGGACAAGAACAGAGACTAGTCCTTTGTCTGATGCAATTAGGAGGTCATTAGTTATTTTCACTAGAGCTGTGTCTGTGCTATGATGCTTTCTAAATCCCAACTGAAAATCCTCAAATAAACTATTGTTACGTAGAAAGTCACACAACTGATCCACAACTGCTTTCTCAAGGATCTTAGAGAGGAAGGGAAGGTTAGAAATCGGTCTACAGTTAGCCAACACCTCTGGATCGAGATTGGGCTTCTTAAGAAGAGGCTTAATTACAGCTACTCTGAAGGACTGTGGTACTGGCCTGTTAGTGAAGACAGGTTGATCATATCTAATAAAGTCGTGCTAATTAATGGTAGCACTTCTTTAAGCAGCCTAGTCGGTATAAGGTCTAAGAGACAGGTAGAAGGTTTGGACGTAGAAATTGTTGACGTCAATTGGTGAAGGTCGATGGGAGTAAAGCATCTAAATATATATCAGGGTTTACAGCTGTTTCTAACGTTCCTGTATTTGAGGATAGATCGGTAGTGGTTGAGGGCAGGAGATTATTAATGTTCTCTCTAATAGCTATAATCTTATCATTAAAGAAGTTCATGAAGTCATTACTACTGACAGAGCTGTGACTCTCTGTCAGCCTGGCTACAGTGCTGAAGAGAAACCTGGCTTGTTCTTATTTGTCTCTATCAACGATGAGTAATAAGCTGCTCTGGCAATACGGAGGGCCTTCTTATATGTCTTAAAACTGTCTCGCCAGACTTACCGAGATTGTTCCAACTTAGTGGAACGCCATGTTCTTTCAAGTTTTCGCGATGTTTGCTTTACTTTGTGGGTTTGAGGGTTATGCCATGGAGCGAACCTCCTTTGTTTTACTAACTTCTTTTTTAAAGGAGCAATAGAGTCTCGTGTCCTTCTCAGTGAGCTTGTAGCACTATCGACAAGATGATCAACCTGGGACGGACTAAAGTTATCACAGGAGTCTGTTATATTGAAGCATGTTATTGAGTTAAATACAGACGGAATCACTTCTTTAAATTGAGCTACAGCACCATCAGATAGACATCTAGTGTAGTAACCTTTGCTTAATGGCGTACACTCCGTTAGTAGGAATTCAAAGGTTATTAGAGAATGGTCTGATAAAAGAGGCCCCAGGTTGGGTGTGAAAGACTAAGAACCAAGCTTTCAAATGAGTTATACTTTAGTTTAGGTTTAGGGTTTAATGATAGTCTTGTCAAAATACCATACTATGCCTATTTTGACATACTGTCAAAATAGGCAGTAACATGTTATAACAAACATGTTATATTTGACATACTGTAATACCTTTTTGTATTAAACCATTACGTTTTTTGACATACGAGACTGACTTTTTTTTAAACCTTTTGACAGAATATCCTGAGACTTTTTAATGACATACTATAATATGACTTTCATTTTTCCGACATACATACTACAATTTCTTTATAACTTTATACTATGACATTTTTCAATAAACTATACTATGATCTTTTTATAATTTCTTTTGACATACTATACCATACCTTTTTAACAAGCATAGCTTTCTTCAACATACAATACAATAAATTATTTGACTTAGTATAGTTCAACATTTTTCGACATACCTTTCTTTGACTTTTTAGCACATGCATTATGACATTTTTTTCAACATACGATGGCTGTTTTTAAACGTTTTTGAAGATTTTCGCTTATTCCCGACACTATGCTCTTTTTTTCCACGACATACTATACCCTTACTTATTTTATGACATACTGTACTTTGACTATTTTTCAACATATTATACTTTGGCTTGTTTTCGTCTTTAACAAAGTTATTTTATTACTACATTAGAACTCTTTCAACTTAATGACCATTTTATCAACATACTTTCAATATGCTATTCTTTTTAAGACATACAATACTATGACATTTTTATAACAAACTGTACCATGACTTATTCATTAAAGTTTTCAACATGTTGTTCAGAGTGTCATCACAATTAAACAAGTAGCCAACAACACTGCAATACGTCAACATAAACAACTAAGCTTTTGAGAAACCTCTTTATTCTGGATCAGCCCAGTGGGAACCGCTGGACATAAGAATAGAGAACAGAAGGTTTACAGGCACAGCCAGTACAGTACTGTGTGTGTGTGTGTGTGTGTGTGTGTGTGTGTGTGTGTGTGTGTGTGTGTGTGTGT